AGCCATGACCGGTTTCGTCCGAGCAAAGGGACTCATTCAGATGGCAACTAGATCTAAACGATTAATAGAAAAGCGCTAAATGTAAATTTATTCTGTTATTTTTAATCTGAAATAAAGGTATATCTGTAAGTAATTGTTAATTTGGGTTTCCTGCTTAGTTAATTTTATGAAGAATTGATTATTTTATTAAGTTTTTTTTGTTTTATTTACATATATGAAGTTCCTTTTTTTTGCGTTTATATAGGAGTGGATTTGGTTTAAAAAACCTTCGGAAATGGTCTTTTAGACAGGTCAAGGGTAGTTAATTTTTTTTTTTGTTTTTCGTGCGATGTTTATTGTGTATTGTTGTTTTAAGTTATTGGTTGTTTGTGTTGATGCTGTTTGCTTCGTTTGTGCGTGGTTGTTGGTGTTTGTTTTTGCGTCTGCCTATATTTGAAGATTGAACATTAGTTATCTTGTTTGTCAGGGGTTTGGTAAACGGATAAGTATTCCTTACTTTGCTTTGGTTTGTTTTGAAGTAATGCTTTTTTGGGACGTTTCCGAATTAGTTCATGTGTTGCGTTGCGCCGATTACGATTACCTACGATCATTTTGACGTCAGCGAGAGATGGGTCTTGGAAGATGTTGTGATATATTTTATGCATGTCTTGTTTCATTGAATGAAATCGTTTTTCGTGTGTATAATGAATAATGAGTTTGTGATGGTCGTCTTTGTTTTGTTGATGTTGCTGATTTGTAGTTATGTTTGGCTGTTGTAAGATTTCGTCGATCTGATCGTTGTCGACGTTCGCTGATGCTGCAGTTGCTGCTACTTGTGACTGTCTACTTGTTGGTATGTCTAATAATTTATTATGCATTATTAAAAATTGATTTTCATCGTCGATAAGACTGAGAAATGACGTTGAAGTTGTATATTCATAAAAGAATTTTTTGAACTCGTTTTCGATAAATGTATACGGATAACTGAAATGTAAGATATGAAAAGATGTAAATGTTGTTCGTCAACATTGGTGGTACTCACCCATTGTATAATAAAGACAATTGAATGTAGCGTCGTTCAGTATTAAAAGTTTGAAATGTTGATGAATATCTTGCAGCACGTGCGAGACTTGTTTGTATAATATTGACGAATACGTGTCGTGGATGATCAGAATTGAATGGCACTACGTAAGGCTCAGCTGCTGGTTTATGATATACAGATGTTGATAGAATACCATTAGTATTTGTAAGAACAACATCAAGAAATGGAAGACTTTTACTAATTTTATATTCTAATTTAATATTTGAATGCCAAGTATTAGCATGATCTAACAAATCTTGTAATGCTTTTTCGGATTTATTCCAGGTCATAAAAATATCATCGATGTATCTAAGATGAAAAGAAATGAATTAATAATTAAATTTTTATTATTCCTTTACTTACCGGCCATAAAATTCACCTGTCATATCTTGTCGACGAACAAGTTCTTTTTGCCATTTCCACATGAATATATTCGCTAATGTTAATGTAAATGATGAACCCATAGCACCACCAAGAACTTGTCGGTAAATTTTATTACCATAGACAAAAACATTTTCTTTTAATACAATAGCAGCTAATTCTCGAATAGTTTCAAGATCAATGCCTTTGACTTTGGTATAATCATGAAATCGAAGAAATTCAACTACAATATCAAGTGCTTCATCTTGTGGTAACATTGTATATAAATTACGAATATCAAATGTACAAAAGAGTGTCGTTGATTTGAAGAGACCTTTTTTAATATATTTTAGAAGTTCTTTAATTAAAGAAGTTCCATCGATAATAGTTGTTGAAGCACATTTATCATCAAATATAGGTCGTATTATTTTATCTAAAAATTGTGATATATTTCTTGTTGATGAATGAATTGTACTTTCAATTGGTCTAACTGGTATTTCATCCTATAATTATATTTAAAGAAAAAATTCTTTTAATAAATACTACATTACCTTATGAGTTTTTGGATTAAAATATAAATGTGCTAGCTCAGAGTTTTTTCGATCAGGCATCATTTCATTATATTGCCGTTGTAAAATGAGTCGTTTTGAACGTAATCTATTGAGTAATTGAATAACTTGATCTTGAATTTGATTGAATGGATTTATTGAAATTTCCATAAAAGCATTTGTCTCTTGGAAAAATTTTTCGGCTTTCTTTTCAAATTCACTAGCTGAACCAATATAAAAATTATTACTCTTATCAGTAAGACGAAGAATGAGATCATATTTTTTAATTTTTTGTCGAATTGATGTAGTCTTTTGTGCTTGTTCGAGCACTTCAATTTGTTCTTTGCATGATAATGGAGTAAAATAACATTGATTAAAATGATCGAATACTTCATTCGAATAGTCTGTTAAAGCACGTGATTTCCATGGGATATGATAATGTTTAATAAGATGACTTTCAACTTTCTTTGTAATATCTTTATGTTCATTTTTAATTTCACTTTTTTGTTGATCTACAGTACGAATGGCACTTTGATTTAAACGTATAAAAGATGGACCTAAAAGTAAAAAGTAATGAAAATTTCTCTAGAGAAAAAAAATTTCCTAACCAAGACAAAGATAATTCCATTCAGGTTCATTGAATGGATTTTCCAGTAAATCAAGATATGGCTCAGGAGAAACACGAATTGTATTCTTGGAGGATACTGAACGTTGACGATTTTCAAGTAATATGTGTCGATAAGATGTCAAATTATGCCGAATATCACTTTTTAATTTGTTTGTTTGAGAAGTCATATATTCGTTGAAATGATTGAAAATGACATTGCCATTGACAGTTGTATCATTGAATAATCGTGATTTTAATTCAAACCATATAGATTGATATTGGTGATCATATTCTTGTAATTTAACTTCATACGCATAGAAAGCAATATTAAGCCATATACGTTTCGTTTCTTTAATAATTTTTATACGGTCATTATTGACTTGAATTGCAAGTTTATTTTGAATTTTTGGTGTATAAATCGTAGGTGAAGTAAAATTTTCCAATTCATTAAACTTTAGTGGTAAAAAATTACAAAGTATTCGCATATGTAGTACAAGATATTCTTCCCAAATTTTTCCTTGTTCGTTTCGTATAGACATTAATTGATTCAGATATTCATTCTTAAAAAAAATCGATAAAATTTTCTCTAATGTATGTGAAAGAATATAAACTTACTTGATCGAATGTTAAACGATATTGACTTATAGTTTCAAATAATTGTTGTTCATGAAGATCATCTTTGAATTTGGATAATTGTTCATTATTTCTTAATGATAGATAATGTCGTTCATTTTGAACAATTTTTTTCATGTGTGAATCGATTCGATCTAATGGTAATGTTGTTATTGAACATAATTGAGATTGTTCTCTTAGTTTCATTTGACATAGATTATGTTCATGTTCAATATCTTTGATATACTTGATAACATATTGCTGACATAGTTCAAAATCAGTAGTCTTTGCCATGTTATAGAGTTGATTCTATATTGTAATGTGAAGAATAATGATCGAAAAATGATTTCATAAAAAAAACAAAAACTTACTGGCCATATTTGATGTTCTATACCAATATTTACATAGGATTGCCATAATTGTTGATCAACTGTTAAACAATATTGTTCGTCCAATAATTCAAGTCGTGCAATGAGAAAATCTCGCGTAACTTTGTCCTTCAATGAATAGTTTAAAATTTTACTTATTCGTTTAAAAAATCTTGGTAATAATCGTTTTAAATACATGGGTCGTCTATATAAACAAAAAAAAATCTATAAACAAAATATAAGACGGAAACATGTCAACAAACCGATATTTCCTTTTGTTAGTATTGTTATCGTTTTGCATTGAAGAATTAGTTGTTGTTTTATTTTTTTCCTTTATTTTCTTCGATAATGGTTGACTAGTATTTGTAGATCGTACTAATGTTGAATTCAGTTTTAAATCTTGTGATGAAACATCTCTTTTACGTTTATTTGGATTTATTGTTGTCGGTTTCGAAGAATTATTAATATCAGTTGTTTGTTTGTTTGATTGTATTTTTTGCATATTCGTGTGTTTTGTATTATTATGATTTTGATTTTCCACTTGCTTTCGTTTCATAAGTAACTTTTCTATAATTTTTGGTTTCATACCTTTTACACGACATTTTCTTCGAAAACGTTGATCACGTCGATTACCATGACAT